TGTATAGTGTCGCATGGGCTTTACCAGGCTGAGGGAGACAGGAAGAGAAAAGGAAGTTATCAAGTTGTCACATTCAAAGCTCCAGAGGAGAGAGAAACCAAGAGATTCGTAGGCTCCAAATCATTTCTGAGCGCGGCTGATGGCCACCGCAAAGAGCTCTGCAGGTCAATGTTGAGCTCTACTTTTCAGGCAGAAAATACAACTCTTCTAAAAATGTGTAAGGTGCCGTCTCTTCGGGAGGGGTACTGCGATCCCACCCATAGTGCAACAGAAGCCGGTACAGAAACCCACCTCTCCCCCGCTACATTTTCTAGAGAGTTGGGCATCTCTTTGTTCTTTAGAAATGCATCGTTGCTCCTCAGATTCTCTGAGCTCTGACTACGAGCAAACAAATATTAGGTCTACCTCTGCTTTACAGGTATTTAGACTGACATTAGCAAGATACATGAGAGGAGCTGACTTGAGGGTAACAATTCCTACTGGTATCTATTTTTGAGATCTGCAATTGCTTCACACTAGAATAAAACCAAAACTGCTCAAGGATTTAAATAAAATACAGTTTGTCAAGGTGTCTGTGTTTGTTATGTTTCCTTCCTCAATGGTAACTACTTTCAAAGTCTGGTAGAAAAGGGACCCAAGCTAATTTCTCCTGCATCACAGGACGGTAACTATCAATCTATGAATTCGTTAGCAGCAGCCTGGAACAAAAATCCTTTCAGATGAAAACTTCTTAAAATCAGAAGTTCGTCTGGAAGCACACTTCAGCTGTGATTCAAAAAAAACCCCAAACCCAACCCAACAACAACAAACCCCACCACCCCAAAAACCCCAACCACCACCATTTCACCAGACTTTTGACAAGACCGCATTAGTCATCTTTATTTCCTACACAGAGGCCACATCTCCAAGGATTTGCTCTCATACCTAATGATGACAATGCCTAAATTTTTTGTGAATGTGCACGCCGATATAGGTCTGGGTAAATATACACTGCTTGGGGGATAAAAGAAAAATACTTAATGCTGGCTGCATTTATGAATATTCTTCCCTATAATTTATCCTGGCTATCGGTTGCTTCACTTCATTTTAACCAAAGCCCCAGTAAATTACTCTTTTCAGTAGAAGCTTCTAAGATTCGCTGTTTCCATGGGAGGAAATTCAGATGTGGCTATCACTGCTTTAAACAATTAAATGCACTATCAGCTTTAGTAGAAGAAGAAAGAGTGCAGGAGCAGGGTACTTTGGCAGAAATACACTGGACCAGAGAGGTTGAAGAGTATGAAGAAATTAATAGCAAATATTGCCTTATTTGTAATGCTAAAATACCCTAATCTTTAGTAAAGTATGAAGCAAAGGCCACTGTTCATTCCCCTCTGAAACACGGGAGCTCTGGATGGCAAAAGAGCTTACAGAAATACTTTCTCACAACGTAAATATTAAGACAAATGCTTCACAAGTAACTGAAAGCAGTAAAAGCACATCAAGATTTACCAGTACTAATCAGAGGCCTCTACACCAAAGCCCAGTGCTTTTCAGTCTGCTAAAAGTCAAGGACAATATTGTGTAGAGCCACCAAAACTATATGCACTTATAATAAAACATATAGTAAATTTTGAACAGTTATTTATTGTTTCTTATTTATTCTACCCATTTCAGTTGTGTTCTGGCCTATCTAAGTCCAGATGTCCATCTGGATGATGATTTCCATCATGAGTGGAAATAAAAAAACCTACAAGCAAGAAACCCTCTTTTCAATAGCATTATAAACCATCTCTGTATGTCTCAAGGACCAAACATCAGGCTGATGAACGCTGATGGATGGTGCTAGAGAGCACCATTTCCAGGTCTCTTTTTCTTCCCCAGATAACTAGAACGTTGGAAAGGAAATCAGTAGGATCATAAAAGCAAACATTGTTTCTAGCTGTCCGAATGAGGTCTCTTCCCAAACACCTTCATTTACCAACCACCTCTCACTGATAATATCCCAGTAAATCAAAACATACATCACAGATGACACAAAGCGATACACAACGGGACAGGAGCCGAACTGTGCTACCACTGAGGTCCAGAATAAAATTTGTTATTTCAGTGTAAGCACAATCAGGCTCATCACGTGGAACAAAGGACAGGGCCCGATCCTGTAGGCATCGTAGAGCAATGCAAATGTATCACACCACTACCTATGCTCTAGACGAGACAAGGATATGCCGAAATCAGAACAGGGCCAAAAGCATGGAGAGAAAGAGAAAGAATTTGATTTGTTGCCTTTATAGTACATACACACTAACAAACTACCTCTAGTGGCACTTGAATTCGTAATCAGCCTTCGCTCTTTTAGCTCTTTTGCCTCAATCACTACATAACTATACAATATAGCTATGGAAATCAGCCTAAAATATGAGGTCAGAAAAAGAGAAGTTGGACACTGCAACTGACAGCTCAAGAGGGCCCGAGCT